GAGGTGCCTTGAAAGTTTCTCTGTCAGATAAATTAGTCTTTTGCCTTTAAATTCAACCTCACATGGAGTTTTAAGGCATGGATAATTGTAGATAAAATATTTGCCAGAACATAACATGCGTGGCCTCTAGTCCAGTGCTCAGTAGAGTCCTCATTCCCATCTAAAACCCCATGAGCTTAGTCTTTTTTTGGGGGGGTGGGGGAATCCTCGGAATCAAACTCAGGACCTTTTCCTTCCAGGAAGCCTCTGTGCCACTGAGCTGTATCCCCGACCTCTCAGTCTTTACAACCTGCATTCCCATTGACATTTTAGTCTTCTAAGCTTCCACTAGAATTGCCTATCAATCTCTGCATACAGTGTTCTAAGACTTCTCTAGTCTATATCTTGAAACCTTTCCAAATGCCTCCCACAGACCAGTTTCAGAGGCTTCTGAAGCATGTAATCAGGTGTGTGGAGGCAATAACTTAACTTCTTTGGTACCAGTTCTCTGCACCAGGCAGCTTTTCCATTACTGGGAGAAAATACCTGGCACTCACAATTTAAAGGAGGCAAAGTTTAATTTGGCTCACGGTTTCAGTTCATTTGCAGCTGGCTCTAAGGCAGAGACATCATGAAGGAAGGGCGTAGCAGTGGCAACCTGTAGTCTTCAGGTCAACGGGGGAGCAGAAAGCAGGGGGAGAGGACCAGAGGGGAAAAGGCCATGACCCAGATAGAATCCACAAGGTCACACTCTTAGACTCACCCAGACAATCCCTGACGCTGTTCTTTACTATCGCCTGGGCATCTCTCAAACTAGTCATGTTGACAGTTAAACATCACAGTGTGTAAGGCGCAGTTCTTGTTCTGAGGAAGCTTACATTCTAGTGGGGAAAGAGTTAAATAAACTGAAAATTATAATGTGCTGTGACAATTAGATCTCCTTAAAGAAGCATACATTGGGGCTAATAGATACTGGAAGCACCCAAGGAAAGATTATCAGAGGAGGAATGTCTGAACTAAGAGAATCAATCAGTTGAGGTTAATTGTAGGTGTGGGTGAAGGATGAGAGAGACATTTTAGGCTGAGATAAAAGTTTGTGTAAATATGGCAGAATAGTAATCATACATGGGATTCTTTTCAATGGGCTTCCTTGTATTTTTCTTTTGTTAGTGGTGGCTTTATAGTGGCCTTTCGTTGTTGATGTGTGGTCTGGATATAAAACCAGACTGTCTTTCTCTTGTTGCTGGGACAAGACACCTGATGCCCAGAATTAAGGAAAGAAAGGTTTATGCTCACAGTTTGTGGAGGTTTCAGTCCATACTCGGCTGTCTCCAAGGCAGAGTGGCACATGGCAGAGGGCAACAGTTCATGGTGGCAGAAAACAGCAAAAGCAGCCAGAGCAAAAAGAAAGAAGCCACAGAAAGCAAGCCTCTTTCTCCCTTATATTGTACGCAGGTTGCCCGCCCTGGGGTGGCGCATACACTGATAATCCCAGCATTGGACCATGAATCAATCAAAAACTCTAGAAGCCTGCCCCATGACTACATGAGGCTTTGGGGGACATGCAGACACAAACCTTAACAGATTGTATGAAGTTCTATTATGTTGTTGTATGTGGTGGGTTCTGGGGTGGTAGACATGAATGGAGGAATATACTGGAGTGTGAAGATGTCTGTAAAATGAAAATTTTAAAGACTAATCTCAAGCCACATTATTAAACAGTTTTGAGGGCATGCTTTATGAGGAACAACAGAAATCATACAGAACTGTTGCAGCATGTTGCTTTTTAGCTTATGAATTCTGGTCTGGGTCTCTTAAGTCTCCTGCTTTATTTGGGGAGGGAGGCTGGACAAATACTACTAATTTCATAATATTATTGTAGGAATTAAACATAAGCATCTATCATACTGCTTGGTGCCATGAACAGATTCAAGAAAGATGTGATAGACACCTGAGTCATCCTTGACAAATCTGTTTTTCTCTTCTCATGCATTCATTATACCCTTCTCTTATTTTAAGTACCTATCTTGAAGAGATTTCTGCCTCCCTCCCTTTGTCCAAGTTAACATAACACTTCCTTGGGACCCTGCAGTTCATCCTCAGAATCCTAACCATGTCTACTTTTATCCCCTTTATCTGCAAACAATAATCTTCAGAAACCAGAATGTAGGAAGCAGTTGCTAATCAGAAGGCTACTTATCACCAATTTGTTTTAGTACTTACTTTGTTTAAGTGCATACTTGCTTTGGAGGCCTACAACTGGTATATCTATATATCTATACCTACCTCTACGTATATATCTTACTAATTTCCAGGGAATCAGAGTGAATCAAATTTATCCAACATTACAACTATACTGTGTACAATTTAACTCTTCTTTGATTTAGAAATCACTTTTAAAACTTGCATCTTTTTCTCGGGGTCTTCTCATGCATGTTATTGAATAGCTGATTTCTTTTTAATAGACTACAGAACAAATCCGATGTTGTTATAGATAGGAAAGTCAATTTCCAGGCTTTTCCATCTTGCATAGGAAGGAAAGTCAAATACACGGATGCAAGAATTATAGGCAAGACCATTTTTACCTTTGTGCACAATTAGTTTTTTTGTTTGTTTGTTTTGTTTTTTTTTTTGGTTTTTCTCCAGTACCAGGAACCGAACTCACAACCTTGCGCTTGCCAGGCAGGCGCTTTGCCGCTGAGCTAAATCCCCAGCCCCCTTTGTGCACAATTGGAATGGCATTGTTTAAGGCCACTGCACTGTGCTGCTCCTTGTCATGCAATGTCTGAGAAGAAAAATGGTCTTAGACAAGAGCAGAAATGGTAGGAAATTAAAATTATGAATGCTGGCTGCATGAAAAGTGGTAGGTGAGTGGCTATCTGCCATCCACAGTGTAGACACTGCACTGTTCTTTATAGTCTTCAATGTACTTCGTTCGTTTAAAAATCATTTTAAAGTGATAGGAAGTAGATACATTCCTGGGCACTAGGAAAACGGAACTGAAAGGCACATTCTTCATCTCTGAGCTCACAGTCCAAAGCAGTGGTGGCGAACCCCTGTCACTTGTGCCGCAGCAGGCACACAGAACCCTCTGTCAGCACGCAAGCAAGAAGCAGCTGAGCATTGGATATATAACTGCAGCGTTGGCAGTCTGCAATAAGTAAGCGGGTTTTGGGTTGCAGTTTGGGCGCGTGGTCTCAAAAAAGTTCCACCATCACTGGTGTAGAAAGTAAGGTAAGAAGAGTAACTTCTTGAAATACTACCTATAGTAAATTCTCAAAAATGTTTGTAAAATGAATATTATTCAGACTCTCTAGCGTGGGGGCTTACAATATGATTATTTCTTTTGATAACAGACTGTTTTACTGAGGAGAAAAAACCTATACTATTTGTATTTCACAGTGAACTGTTATTAGTTCACTAGTCCAGATATTACCCAAAACTCATAATAGCAGGTCCTCTCTTTCTCCTTCCACACATTATGTATTGTTTTCATGTTAGACTAATATGATGGCTATATCTATATTCAAAAGTAAATACAGCATTTGTATTTATTCTGTTACAGGTAACCACATGGTGGATATTGGAGATATTGTATTTCTTTTGGACGCACTACAGAGCCAGTATGAAGACATTTGTAAGGGAGCTCTTGTTGCCATAGTAAATCTTGTTTATAAGTAAATTCTCAATTAAATTCTAATTTATAGATTTTATCAAAAAGTTTTAACAAAAAATTTTAAAAGTGTTGTTTGAAAACCTCTCTCTGGGCCGGGGATATAGCTCAGCTGCACAAGTGCCTGCCTGGCAAGCACAAGGTCCTGAGTTGATTCCTGGTACCTAAAAAAAAAAAAAAAAAAAGAAAGAAAGAAAACCTCTCTCTAACTCTTAAATGAGGGAAATAAAATTTTAATATAATACCTAAGAATATCTTCTTGATATTAAGAACTCACTATGTAGCCCAGGCTGGCGTCATTATATAATGACAGTCTCATAATTTTCTTTTATCTTACCCTGATACATTGCAGCATAAAGTCAACTTTAAAATAAAATAGCTATACCAAACAATGATAATATTTAATTTATGGTTTGTAGGGCATTCTGACATCCTGATATTGATCCTTTTAACATTTTAAAACATTTTTTTAGTATATTCTTTGCTATCATCCATTGTTTTTAGTTTTTCTTTATTAAGTACTATATGTTGCTTTTCATCCCTTCTTACTGCACTTTGTGTTATTCCTTATAGTTTTCCTCATTTGTCTAAATACCATTTGAATAAGATTACCTATGCCCAGATTTTAAGAATTATGTTTTATGAGGCTTGTTATAATAAAAGAAACTGTCCTAGAATTTCCCTCCAGCTTTTCCAGAGGCAATATTTAAAGTTTTAGCTGATTCATATTTATATTTGCAACATGTATATCTATCTATCTATCTATCTATATCTATCTATCTATCTATATATATATATATATATATATTTGTTTTAGTTTTTTGAGACAGGGTCTCACTCTGTAGTCCAGGCTGGCCTTGAACTCACTATGTAGTCCAGGCTGGCCTTGAATTCACTGCAGTCCTCCTGCCTCAGCCTCCGAAGTGCTGAGGCTACAGGCATGCACCACCACACCTGGCTTATATTGTTAATTGTTGATTTCCTAAATAAAAAAATAATTGACATAATAATTATATATATTTATATGTTTAGTTGATGGCTTGATACTTGCTACAATATGTAATAATTGGTCAGGGTAATTAGTATTCCCATCTTTAACATTTATCATTTTGTTGTTCTTTTTACTAATGTTTGATTTTTTTCTCATTGTTTCTTTTATTTGTTTATATTTGCAATTCATGTTAATTATATTCATTTTGTGGAATTCATATATACATCTTGTTTATTTGTCTGGTTTGTCATAAAGATGTATATTTATTACTGGTTTTACCCAAAACACTGTGAAATGTCTGAGTCCCAATTTATAAAATTGGTGGCACCAGGTGTTCTAGTCTTCCTGAAGGAATTTTCCATAGAGTACTCTGGCTGATTTAGAAACTGATACATTGCATATGGAAGAACTAATATGGATTTTATTGCCCTGTATATTTTGTCATTCCGGGATCCTCATTTACTTACATTTGAGACTCTTCTCCCATATCAGGGCCTGTCCTCATGTTTGGCTGATAGATTTGCATAGAATTCTAAATTGGAGATAAGTTTCCCTCTGAATTTTTAATTTCCTAGTTTTCATTATTGTTGAAATCCAAATTTCTGCTAATTCCTAACTCTTTGGATGTACCTGATTCTTTGATTCTAAAAGAAACTAAAAATGCCATTGGTTATTTAATTTCCTCTATTTTTTTCTTTTATTTTTAGAGCTCTTGTTATTTGAATATTTGATATCCCTCACTAGTTCTCTTTATTTCAAAGCTTTCCTCTTTATTTTAAAGCTTTCCTCTTTATTTGGGCCTTGTTTTCTTTTCTGTTCACATCCGTTTCTCCAGAGAGTACTTAATGTAGAAAAAATGAGATATTCAAAGCCTTCGATTGTGATCATGAAATTGTGACCAAGGCCAGTAGTTCAAGATAGACAACTCTGGAAAGTAAAACTTTCTAAAATCAAACAAGTAATAAGTATCACACCTGCAGTGTACACTGTTATCTGTCATTGAGCATTATGTCAGAAAGGTGAATTTATAATTTCTTTTATATCAAAATGCTTTCTTAGTGTAAATGGAGGCATTATTTCTAGTTATTCTAGACAAAAGCTAAGCTCTTTTTAAGTAAGACTATAACTCTGGTTCTTCTTTTACTCACAAAAATTTAATACATGTTTGAGAATTTTCCTCAAAGAGCAAGATTATGTATAAGACAAAAATTAGAAAAGCATACAAGCAGAAAATTTACAGCGGAGAAAAGTAAATTAGTACATATGGCAAAATATTCACAGTCAATTATTTTAAAAATGCTGTCTAAAATAGCGAGTATCATTTTGTAACTGCATGATCGGAAATACTGAAATTAACTGCCAGGATTGACTAATCTGAGATCAAACTTGCATATTATACTTTATTAATAATTATTTTCATACATACAACTGTTCTGGTGAATAATCTGCAATACTTTTGAAAGGAAGCAAAAAACTGTAGGTCTGCCATCTATGACACTGGACTTCTCGTAACTCATCATTTATTGCTATATCTCTTTTCCTTTCCATAGCAGACAGAACTAATTGTAGATTAAATCCATTCCAATCTGTCCCATAATATCAATTACTCAGGTATTACAGAAGAGATAGACATGGCAATGAAGACTGAGAAATGTTAATCCTAGAATGAAGAAGTACGAGCATGTATCAGAGAAAGAATGTTAATACACTTAGGAATGAAGAGTCAAGTATCAGGAAGGGATGTGGAGCCAAAATAGCACATGCAAAGTCAGAGCAGATCAGATCACAGAAGAACTTTTAGGATGCAGATTGTAGACACACTATTTTAATGATGTACCTAGAGAAAACAAAAACTATAAATACTCTTCTTATGGTGTTTGATAAATTGCACTCCTTTGAAGTGGAGTGGATCTCCATTTCTAAAGCAGCTTTTCTTTTCATTACCTACTTTTTTTTAAAAAAATATTAATACATGTTTGCAGTACATAATGATTATATTCATCGTATGGAATTAGTATATATATAACACATCTTAGTGCTTTTTACATCCAGTTCCGCTCTTTTCTTTCCTCCTCACTCCATCTCTTGGTTCTCTTTGCATTTGCAAAAATCTATTTCCCTTTTTCCTATTGTCTTTTATTTTGCTCTTTAAATTACTTATAGAAATTCAATACTTCTCAGAATACTTCTGAGTACAATACTTTAGAATACAATACTTCAGAAATATAATACAATATTATCATACTTCTGAGAAGTGTGTGTGCATTTCTGTTGCCCATATTTTTTTTTTTTTATCTTTTTGAGACAGTTTCTCTCTATGCAGTTCAGGCTGGCCTTGAGTTCACTTAGTAGCCCAGACTGGTCTTGAACTTGCAACGATCCTCTTGCCTCAGCCTCCCACGTGCTGGGATTATAGGCATGCACCTCCATGCCTGGGTTGTTGACCATCTTTTGACTGGGTTTTTTATTAGGGGGATTTGATTGTTTGAGTTCTTTATATATTCTATATCAGATTTTCTTTCTTTCTTTCTTTCTTTCTTTCTTTCTTTCTTTCTTTCTTTCTTTCTTTGGTACTGGGAACTGAACTCATGACCTCAGGCTTCCTAGGCAAGCGCCTATGCTGCTGAGCTATATCCCTGGCCCTCGAGTTCTTTATATATTCTAGATAGTAGTTCTTTTCTGAGGAGTAGCTGGCAATTTTTTTTCTATAAGTTGTCTCTTCACTCTGTTGGTTGTTTCCTTTGCCTTGCAGAAGGTTTAAATTTGATATAGTTCCATTCATTGATTTTTTGATGTTATTTCTTGTGCAATTGCGGTGCTGCTTAGAAAGACCTTATCTGTACCTATGTCTTCAAGAATGGCTATTTTATCTCCCAGGAGATTGTTTCTGTTTTAGTTTTCATTTATTTATTTTTAAATTGGTTATTTCTATTTTGATATTTAGGTCTTTCATCCATTTTATTTGGCTACGTGGTGACAGATATGGGTCTAGATTTCATCTTCTGCATGTGTTGCCAGTTCTGGCACCATTTGTTAAAGAGGCTCTCTTTCCTCAAGTGTATGCTTTTGGCTGTGTCTCCTCCCTCCATGCACCCGGTGCAGACAGGAGATCCTTACTCAGAAGGCCCATGAACTGCTAACATCGGAGTTCGCATTTGGGCCCTCTCTGCACGTGCCCTGTGCCGCCTGAGGTATTAGAGCAGGTAGTGCATGAGCTGCTGGTGTTGCGGTTTGGGTCTGGGCTTTACTTGCACCCTGACCTCCTGGAGGTCACAAACACAGGAGGTCTGTGATCACTTCCAGTGCAGCCCATGGCTGGCTCCTGTGCATGCCCTGAACTGCCTGGAGACACAGAATCAGGTGATCCACAAATTGTTGACCATGCAGTTTGTGTCTGGGTTCTTCCTGTGCCCTGAACTTCCTGGGCACACAAGTCCACTAGTCCACAATTGCACCACCAGGGCAACCTGCTTCTGGGTCATACATGTGCCCTGAGTTGAGAGGGGACACTGGATCAGATGGTCTGACCTTACAGTTTGCATCTGAGACCTGGGAGAACTATGTACACTTCACCATCTGCTAGAAGACCCCAGACTAAGCAGCACATCTCAGTGGACACTGAGGGGCAAGCCTGACTACCAGGAAAACTAGGGACACTAGCGACCTTTGCTGAGCTGCCAGGGAAGAGGGAGACTGAGCGTTCTGCATCTGGTATCAAGACAAAGGACTAAAACACAATTTCAGAACTCCACCCCACTCAGAACAAGTCCAGGATACATCGACACAGGAGAATTTGGTAAACACACACCTGAAATTGCTGAAATGATTGCAGTGAAAGTAAAGAAACAACTCCATCAGGCCAGAGAAGAGATCAGATCAGAAATAATCTCTCAGGCAAAAAATGGAATGACAATAATAATGAAAGAATTGCTCAGCACATCTAAAGATGAAATATATTTAAAAAAATGAACAT